TGTTCTATCGTGTTCTTCAAAACAGGGCCTTAAAGGCATCCCATCAGACAACGACTGGTCCACACAAAGATAATAATCTGGTTGGAGAGAGAGAGAGGACAACTTACGTTTAAGTTAACCAATTCGTCATATTTCACAACACCGTGCTGTATTCGAATCTTTCATCTTCCGTGTGTTAAAAATAAGAGATTAAGACAAGTCTATTTTAACGCGACAGAAGCAGAGAATTATCCAAACTATAAACCTACAAGATAATTTCAAAGAATCCATTGCGGTTATCTTAATTTGAAGCTCGATTATAGTTGTAAAATATGGAGTTTTCGCGTGCCAAGCCCTACTGAGCACGTGTATATAGAATCCTGTAAGTATGGGCAGAAACATAAAGACATCTTAGCAAAGCTCAAGTCACGGAAGGCTACGCTGCAAGTCCAGAGCAGAAAGCGATGTTATTGAGAGTTATTTGTTAACGTATCTGCCAAAAGGTAAAAGCAAATTTTCTGACGAAACTCGTATATTCGTCAGTTTTCGTTAAAGTAACGAATGTGCGAACCTTCGTGTTAAATAACAAGCTGTTAGAAGACGAAATTCTGGAACAGGAAGTCAGAAGTCACTTGAGACCATTAGTAATCGACACAAAAATAAATCTACAGCCATATACCAATAATCCTGCCTTCCGCGCTACGACAGACCAAAGGCTATTGTCTAGCATACGATGACAAAGCCCTTTGAGATACTACCTCCGCCATAAACGATGAGGGACGCGTTCCTCCACGAGTCTCTTGGGACGCCCCGTCACTGTTACGAGACTGCTTCACGTTATGATTTTTGATTTATCTTTACTGTTACGCTTATTGGTAACGGATAACGCTTATGTTTTTCATGGAACATTGTACACGACTAGAAATCATATAGTACCAACGAACTAAGGTCACAAAGTGCACAATAGAAGAAACTGGGGTATATAAGCATGTTGTAGTACTTCTGAGTTACACCGGTAAAAATGGTCTAACTCATAACAATTCATATCTTTGGTAAAAAACAACAACAACTAATTGTTTGAATTTACATTAAAGTTTTAGGGAATTTCACCCACCCGATATACATGCACCGTTCGAAAAATTCTAAATCTAATATTTATAATACAGCTCTTACGTTTTCCTAAAGAGTAGTTTATTAGATTTGTTTTTTTATTATTTCATTTATAGGTTTACCTTTAGGAAGTCTAAGAAGCAATATAAACTCCTCTACTAAAGTTATAGTCTACCAAAACATATTTTCCCACTACTAGTTCCCCCACCCTTTATGTGCACTTTAAACATTACTAATTTAGAAATTTAAATTTTGTGTAGAGGCGGTTAACAAGTTATACTGTAATCTGCCAGTGTTGATTCTGACCATAAATCTTGCAGTCAAAGTAAAACAAAAGGGGAAGGGGTTGGGAAGAGAACCTAGGAGCTAGCCGGCGCCAAAACCGTAGAGTATGTTAACTAAAAGACCCCCCCTAAAATAAAAAGAAACAGTAGGAATTTGGGGGGGATGGGCTGAAATGTTCTGATAAAGAAAGAACATATTTCAAAAACTAGAAAGTTTGAAGTTTGATGAATTGGTTTTCTTGTTAACTGAAACTACCGCTAGTACTGGGTGTCAGCGTTTACGAAAGAACATTGAAAACTCCATCAACAAGAACGAACACTGACAGATGTCAGATAGTATAAATGACGAGTGAAAAAACAACAATAACAGTGGGGTAATGGGGGGAAGATATATGATTCTCCCCCCTCTTTCATTATTTCTAGTTCTATATTTCTTTTGCATTTTGTGAGACACAAGTGTGTGGTCGTAGTTCAACTGATCGAATGGGTCCGGTCTGATAAACCGTCATGCCACAAAAACTGGCTCTGAATTCTTTGTCTTGCTGATTAAATTACCAGGGACCAAATGGACAATGGGGTTTAAATGCTAGGCTCGTCAACTCATAGATCTTGATAAATTTCTGAAAGACTGCGACAGTCCGAGATTGAACAGTAATTATTGAAGGGGCGAGGCGAGGAAGCCATAAGACCTACTACTAGCCAAAGATAATGGTGTCATTATTGGCGGCGGGGGGGTTCAAGGGAGAGAGAGACTCTTAATCCTTTACAGCCAATCGCCAATGGCATGCTGCCAGGAAGAGGGAGGGTGTGAGCTACAGGCGATTTCCTGTTAAAAGCTCATCTGGCTGTACTGTTACAGGAAGGACGGGGCTTCACCGCCAGGTGGTGCGGCAGATAGATTTAAAATGGTGAAAGAACTTGCACTGCCTTCCTTCCTCTTCAAGTGTATAAATTCAACTTCCTCTCTTCCAAGCAAGTTCCATGAAAAGTAAATGACCTTCAACTTTACAACTTGTGAAAGGAAATATAAACTAATAGTCTCCAACAACACGTGGCAAAATTTTTACAGGACAAACTATGAAGCTACTTTCTGTCTAAGAAGTACGATTCTCAAAAAATTATCTGGCATAACAAGACTCGCGATTTTTGTGCTTCCAAGATTTCCTCATGATTCAATTATAATCTAAAATAAAATCACCGTTTCGTAACATTTATATTTGAAAACCTTACGCTTGTTTGAAGCGTGTCATAAACAACAACACAAAAAGTAAAGATAAAGTAATAGTACACTTTACAACTCCCAATGAAAACAAGGCTTAATATATATATATATATATATATTTACGATAATTACTACCCACTCCACCCCACACTACGAAACTAAAAAATAAATTAAAGTTAATAATGACGACACGTCGTTGTCGACCTATTACGTTAACTACCT